TTTTTTTAATGATACACTAATTCCTATTGAATTTCAGAAAAGTACCTTGGGTGGGCCCAGGGACAACACACAGGCATTTTCAGTTTTCTCCTTTCTTTTTCATTTTCTCCTGTCATTTCCATTAGGTACATTCCTACCTTTTAATGCCACCCTCTCTTTTGGTTCAGATACAGAGTTGCCAATTCCCATGACAGTGGCGGAAAAATTTTGGCTGGAGCTGAAACCAGTGAGAAGCTACAGCCCTCTAACAGATTTTAGCAAGGGAAATGACTTTTGTTGATTGCTTGCCCATTTCTCCAGCTCCTGCACAGAGGAGCTGATTGAGACTGTTCAAGAAGGAGGCGTGTCAAAGGTCATGTGACATCACTTCCTGATGTGATGTCACTTCCTGTGAGGTCTTTGAATATGGCTCACTGGCCCACTGGGTGATAAGAAGTTCGTGATCTGGCCCCACATTCAAAAAGTTTGGACACCCCTGGCTTATACCAATCAGCACATTTATAACTGTGTCCATACTAGAGGACTGTGCCACTGGCTATATGCCTTCCTAAATTAATACTTACAGTAGTGCAAACCAAAGTCTGCACTAGCCTTCAGACACATCTAGCAATGCACCACCTGGCTTTGCATAGAGAGCTATTTTTCTTCTGCTTGAGGCCAATCAGTCTAGAATTACAGCTGACAAAAGTGGGAAAGGGGGCTAAGGGAGATTTCACAAGTAACTGAAAACTGAACAAAGGGGCAAAATTGGAAGGTAACCACTATCCTCTACTGGCACTGGGCTGCATTTCCCAAGGTGCCAGCTCTGGAGCTTCTGTAGATGTAATATAGGAAATCTATGTCACAGGAACTGAATTTAATTATTCTACTTTGAAGAAACTTGCAGTGGACTTGAGACAACTGCAGCTAAGCGACTGTGTGAGGTTTCTGGATAGACTGCTATCCAGTGGTAAATAAAACCTGTATATTTCCCATCTACTTGTTTTCACTTTTGGCTAGATTCTTCTCCACAAGCTTATGGTTTTAAAGACACATCTTTTTACCGTTAAACATGTTCCAACCCTTAAACAATGCTAGTAACTAGCACATTTCTAGAAAGCTCCTTTTGCTGACAGCATGCACACATATGTAAAACCAAGTTCCAGTAAAATGCATGTGAACAGGATCAGTTTGGAACATCTCTTAGTACTGTACTTGGCATTTTTTAAGCATTTTATGTGCCATAAAAACCTAATTTAATAATAAGAAAAAAAGACAGTTTAGGGTGGCAGAATACAGTCCCTCGATCAGATATTGATGGCACTGGGAACTTGCCTTCAGCATGGGAGAGTTTAACACCATGGTTACATTTAATTTTTTTCCCCTTCTTCCATCTTTAAGCATTGTGCTTCCACTCAAACAAAAGCACATGGTCTCTGATGAAGCCTGAGTGATAAGGAAGGGAAGAATTTCCCCTGGGGTTACTTACCTCATGGTCTCATGCCCAGTAGGTAAGCTGTCCAAAACCTACTTCAAAGCTACACTAGCCAACAGCTTTTAATACTACAGTCCTACCACTATCTTTAATAGATCCTTAAGCTCTATAAACAGCTCCCTTTCCATATTGATGAATGATGATCACGTACCATCCGTAGCAACCTTCCATTCAATCCGCAGGACTGGGAGTAGCTTTTCCTCCTCATCACGGAAAACATCAGGGAAGACATCAAGAATACTTGGTGCAGACGGTGTCCATGTGGAACTTTGTAGCCAGCTCTCATCCATGCAGGTACCTGCCAGTCAAACCAAAGCTGTTTCTTAGAGCTGAGCAGGAAACTGTTTCCTCACTGGACAAAATTTAGATTTCAGGAGTTTTTCTGTTGTGTCAAACACTCCCAACCTGCTTTAGTTTAAGCTACCTTTCATCTTAGTGGGCACTGTACATTGTGGCCAGTTTGTACGGGATCCTCTGGCTTCTGCTGGAGGACACAAAACCTGCTTAAGTGCATGGAGGTATGACTTCCTCTTGTGTGATTTGCAGACACCTTGGTGATGAGTCACAGAAGAGATCTGCACAAAGAGCAGGTGGTCTTGATCATCGGGAGAGCCAGGCACACAGTATGTATGACATGTGAAGACTATAAACTTTGGGTTCTCTGTGGAGACATACTTGTCTTTAAAATCCACAAGGAAAAAGGGAGCACTGATAATCTAGTCTGAACTCCTGCCTAAAAGAGACTAGTTTCACTCAGTAGCTTCTGCATTTCTTGTTGCGCTAGACCTACCCTTGTTAAAAAAAAAAAATAAAAAATCAGATGACAGGGAATCTGTTGCATCCCTATATACACAGTTCCAATGAGTAACTATATTCTTTGTTGGAAACAATTGTCTTCTTCCTATTCTGAATATGTCCAGCTTCATCTCCTAGCTACTGGCTCTTAAGTCTTTTCTGACTTAACAAACCCTCTAGATTAAAATAATTCATGTTAGCCAATATGGTGCTACAGGAAATGGATCTTGTCATCTCATCATAAAATGAAATTAGATTTGACAAGTTTGACAGATAGATGCAATATACACAGGATTTTGAAAAGCACTTGACTTTGCACCACACAACACTGCAATTAAAAAAACACTATACGATATCAATAAAGTACACATGTAAAAAAAATTAACTGGCTGACAGATCTCAAAAAGTAGCTGTCAATAGGGAATCATGATCAAAAGCAGGTGTTTCTACTGAAGAATTGCAGAGATCAATTCTAGGCCTGATGGTATTCAGTATTTTTAATCAGTGAGATAGATGTAAAAATAAAAATCACTGCTAAAATGTTATGGATGACAGACTCATCCATTCTTATTTACCACTACCACACGACAGACTGTCAGAGTGGTAAATGAGGACAGGGGAGTCGCATACAGTGATCTGAATTACTTGCTAAATTGGACCCATTCAAACAAATGCATTAAGACAAAATGCAAGGTCATATATCTGGGAACAAAGAATTCAGGCCATACCTGTAGAAAGGTGTCTTCCTGTCCCCACCCCACTCCCACTTCCCATGAACAATCTCCTTCCTATGTTAAACTTCTATCCTTAAATGAAACCATCTCTTAACTCCTCTTGAACACATTTAAATAGACTGAGCTGCTTTAGTTTTACTACAAAGCAGGTTCACCAGAACCTGAATCATTCCTATAGCCCTCTTCTGATTTATGAACCTCTTTTTATACAAATTAGGTACAATAATTGCACGCTGGACTCTAGTAATTGTCTCACTAATGCTATATACAGTATTATTAACCACCTCCCTCTTTCTACTTACTGTTGCTTTCTTCTACATGCAAGGAACTCATTTGTTCATCTAGTCACTACATTGCACTGAGAAGCCTAGTTCAGTTTGCTATCCTACGTTGTCACACACAAACTTTTACAAGCAGTGATTTTAGATTTTATTCCAGATCACCTATTAAAGTATTGAATAGCATCGAGCCAAAAACAGACAAGATCCTTGGGCATGCAACAAATCACCTTTGAAGGTCAATTTGAAAGATTTATTGTAGTTAGAAGTGCCACATTATTTCTGCAGTACTGTTTTTAATAAGAATGCCATGTCATACAAAGTCAGTGCTTCACAGCAGTTGTAGTAGACTAAGTTACTTTTGTCAACAAGAGTTGAAGTCTCAATATGATATCAAGTTGGTTTGATGAAAATAGGTCATACCAAACAATGCTGACTGGCTTTAATTCTATCACTCTCCTTCCATTCCTTATTGATTGTACTCTATATAAACTTTTCCATGATTCCCCCCAACCCATGATGTGTTAGCCTAACTGGCCTATACTTACCCAGTCATCCCTTTTACCCTTCATAAATATTGAAACATTAACTTTTCTACCCTTCTGGCTCAACCAACAGCTATGACATGCTTTGTCTATACTTTGAAACACTTGGGTGCAAGTTATCTGATCCAGGGCATGTCTACATGAGACGCCTGATGTACAGAAGACTAAATCTACTGAGCATTAACGCGGCTGGCAAAAACCGTGCTAATGCGCAGTAGACTTGGTCACAAAAAAGTGTTAAATAATGTCACAAAAAAGTGTTCATCTTCACTAATGCACAGTAGCACTGATTATGGTGCATTAAGTTTAGTACCTGTTATTACATGTAATTATGGTGCATTAATGGATGTGTAGACATGTTCCCCGAGAACAAAAATATTTAACTTAAGGATTTCCTGTTTCACATTTAGTTCTCTAGTATAGTATGGAAATACATCCTCCAGTTACTTTCCAACGCAGAACACATATTTAGGGAACATTTCTGCATTATTACTGATAATCAACACAGGTGATAAAATTAAGGGAGCTATTGTTTGATACCCTTTAAAAAATTTGTATTGACCATAGGCTTTTTACTGCTATGCTTAATCTCCCTCAGCAGTTGGCTGCAGTTCATATCTGCTAATTTACAGTCATTATTATCAACTTCTTTTTCCAAGTTACATTGTACAGTTCTTCATCATGCCTTGCTAATACATTAAGTTTGCATCTAATTCTAAATGCTGATTTAGTAAGATTGGTGTGGGATGGATATACACGTTACACATGAGCTTATCCTTAAAAACTATGGTGGGACCTTAAGAATGACTCTATTTTGAACAGAAGCTAAATCATTTTGTAACTGTTCTTTTTGAGAACTCTCATCTGAAACACAATCTCCACTTCCTCTTTTGGATGGAGTTGGTTTTGGATTCATGAGGTGAGCTGCTTATAATACTAGTCCTGACAATAATACTTAGTTCTATACCTTTCAGTGGTTTAAACAGAAACACTCAGCTTGTGAATTCAATTTAAAAACATGTCACAAATGAAAACACCAGGAAGAGGAAAAAAGGACTTACTGTTTCTTACAAGGCAGTTTAGATCCTGTGGAGAAAAACAAGACAATCACTGAGAGAATAGAAATTGTTTTCAGATATACTAGTCCTTTGCAAACAGAGAGAAGGCAACCCAGCAAAAACAATAGTTTTTCTAACCAACAGATATGGGCTGGAAGTGACTTATTGTTATCAGTAAAATGTGGCATGAAGTTACCATCTGGACAAGTTAAGGGAGTAATCAGGTACACATTCTTGAAGGGTGAATTTAAGGTCACAACAAGACAAAGAGAAGGTGAATTTAGGTTGAGTATCAATAAACAGCTTCCCCAAATGAAGATCTATTAGACCACAGGTCTTTGGCACACAGCCGGCAAATTACAACCATCTAGCATCAATTAGGCTGGTGGCCATCTCTGAGTCTGGAGATGGTACTGGCTTCATGTGAGCTCTATGAGGCAGGGCTTGCCACTATGGTATTTGATAATGCAAGGTATAAAGGGGCATCATTCCCTCTTTGGGTTGGTAAATGCTATCACAATACATAAGGTCACTTTAAAATCTACTTTAGACAAATCACTGGAGAACACACAAGAGGGAATGCTCCTGCATTCCCTCAAAAGAAATGGACTGGAATGGTTAGTAGGCCTTTCCCATTTTTTGGATCTAGGATGCTATTAGAAATCCTGGTACTAAAATTCAGGGTGGATTTGATTTAAATCAAATTGATTTTAATCAGTGGTCAGGAAGCCTTGATTTAATCATTATTTTCTACAAAAAGTGCATTCTTATTGCTTGATATAACCTACATTAAAATATTCCCAAACAGGATCTCTTTTATGGCCTGACAAGCCCGCTGCCATGATAGGTTTTCCCTTTTACCATGCTATTCCCTCACTAAATCTCAAATCAGTGGAGAGGCTATACTCAGAAACTTATCCCTCAAAACTTCTAGAATATTCTGCTCAAAGTGTTTCTCTTTTTGTTTCTACTGCCCCTCCCTCCTTGCATTTATCTCCAGACTCCTCCTCTTTGCCCAGATCTACTCCACTCACAGCAATCCTCTATTCAATTAACTTCTTGAAACTTTGCACTTTCATAGAGAAGCAAGGGCTTGACTGTGTGTACACAAACTTGCAGAGAGACAGTAGAGCTGATGGGTTCTAATTGATTATCTAATCAGGTCTGTTGTCTCTCCTCTCTTATAAGTATACAAGGAATGTTTATCAGGATCTGGGGGAATGCCTGTTCACCAGAGCGCCTCATGGGATGACAAGGTTAAAAGGTCACAAACTCCTCCAAGACCATTTCAGGCTGGACATAAGGAAAAACTTTACTGTCCAAGCCACCAAGGCCTGGAACAAACTGCTGCCAGAGGTGGTACAAGCACCTACTCTGGACTCCTTTAAGAGTCAATTGGACGTTTATCTTGTTGGGATCCTGTGACCCCAGCTGACTTCTTGCCCCTGGGGCAGGGGGCTGGGCTCGATGATCTTACAAGGTCCCTTCCAGCCCCACCGTCTATGAAATATATCAAGTCTCCATATACAGCTGTCAACAAGGATGTTATCTCTGGAGACACAAATCCACAGTGTGAGAACTGAAACTAAACATCACCGATATGCTTAATGGGATCTTCTAGACTGAGCACTGAGTCCCATTGTGTACAGTGGTTTTCTTTAATCTTTACTAATATATAGAGGAGCCCCTGGGAACCCCATACATTTTTAAAGTTGACCTACAAAAAGGAGGTGACAGGGGAGGGATAGACTACTTCAACTGCTGTCCTTTTACACTTGATGAAGAAACAAAATGGTCTGAAAGAAAAGAGTAGAGGACACACAGATTCTGCTTAGTTTTTTGCACTAGAGACTCATGTCTTGTGTCCTTATATTCACAAGGAAAAGGGTGCACAGTTAACTGAAGTTAGCCAACTTTAGTTACAGCAAGGTAAAATCCTAGTGAGGGTAAAGTAGTTTACTTTGAATTGCTTAATTCAGTAAACACCAAACACTAGGCTTCCCTTGGCTTCTAGTCAAGTCTTCACATAGTAAAAAGACACACCTTACTCATTAGGATTCTAGTAGGAACACGCCTCTTGGTTTCTTACCTTAGTGTTACTAGTCAAGGTCAACCACAGGCAGGAGATATCAACTATGACAAATTATGAAGTAAAAACTGCATGTGTCATCTCCTCTAGATTTTACAGAAAGATAGTTAACATGTTTACCTTCAGATAATTTGCTGGGGGAAACCAGACTACAATATCCATTGCTAGGTTTCAGCACTAAGGAAAACTGCAAAGCATCAGATCAGTAGTTCCCAACCTTGGGGTCGCAGATAACGAATGAAGTTGCGCACTCCTAGAGAGGGAGGCATGGGGGGGAGGGGGGGGATGTGCTCCTCAGATTTGTCCTCTTCCTGGCAACTCTGCAGTAGAGCAGGGCAGGGCAGGGAGGCTTGGTGCCACTGCCAGAAGCCCCATACCAGCTGTGCCACCATGGGAAGGTGCCCCCTCTGCCTGCCTGGCAGCAGTGGGGAGAACAATTCTGCACTGCTGCTGCCAGGTGGGCAGAGGGTGCCTTGCCATGATGGCATGGAGTTACCAGCAGCACCAAGCCTCTCCACCCTCCAGCACCAGGTCCCACCATCTGGGCTGTGGAGGCCCCCATGGGGAGGGCTGCAAGGCAGGGAGTCCCAAGCCGGCAATGGGCAGCCTGCATCCTCCCCCTTGCCTCCCATGGGTTCTACTTTGCCCATGCCACCCATAGGGGGAAGGGGAAAGGGGGAAGCTAGGCTCTGTGCTTTGCTCCAGCCATAGCAGCTGCTGTTTCCTATGGGTGGCAGCTAGGGCTTAGGTGCTGCTGGGTGGGGGTTGCAGTCCCTGGCCCCATAGTCCTGGCAGCTAGAGGTCCCTGCTGGTAGGGCAGGGTGGGGAAGGAGGCTGCAAGTAAGGGGCACCAGCAGGGGTGGGAGGTGAGGGGTACTGGCAGGGCCAGGAGGCTATGGGTGGGGAGTGAGGGGCACCTGGAGGGCGGTGGGGGGCTGTGGGAAGTGAGGGGTCATGCTGAGGAAATAGAGTCATAAATGGGTTCATAATGAGGAAAAGGTTGGGAAGCATTATGTTAGATCATGTTCGTGTTTCCCACTGAGGTCAGTCTATTTCTACTGTCCTGGACCTAAGCAAAAGCACCACCAAAAACTCTGGTTAATTGTGCTTCTAAAGGGCAAAAGAACTCTCTTGCATGGCAGTGGTTCCCAATTTGTGGTACGGGTACCATCAGTGGTATGCAGACAGCTTGGCAGTGGTGCACGTTAACAGGTTTATTATAAAGTAATTATATGACAAAAATGTGCTGATGGTACTTAAGGTTGTATAATTTTAAATTGGTGGTGTGTAATTTGTCAGTTTGGGAACCTAGGGTGTTCCTGATGTTTTGGATACAATACTTTATAGTTGCAGGTAAGAGTTTGAAATGATGATTGTGAGTAGTCCTTCAACTGCCTGGGACCTGGCAGGGACCTGGACTGAAGGGGTCTGAAGGCCTTATGCAATTCTAAGCCCTATCATGAACAGAGTCCACTGGTGCAATCACTTCCAGCTTCAAAATAATACTAATGAGGTATATTTAGTATACCAAGTATAACATATTTCTTATACGTGTTTATCTTTCAAGCACTTAACACACTAAAGCTAAGATGGGCAAGTAAAGGAATCAGCTGAAGCAAGGTTGATACATGGCATTCAGGCTGACTGTGGAGTGCCCATGAAAAGAGGGTGCACCAATTTAAATTGGTGTCACTGATATAGAAAAGCTGTACATTGGCTTTCTAAATACTATCAGGTTTGGATAAGTGTACGTAAACAGTATGGACGTTTGCTTAGATTGAAACACTCCCATGTAACACCTGCAACGCAAATACTGCAGCACTTTGCTAGTGAGTAAGACATAAAAAATGATTAGGCAAATACCACGGAAACCCAACCAAAGCTAGCTAATCTGCATCTATTTCACATTGTGCTAATCTATAGCACAAAGTGAGAAATGTAATACATTAGCAATATTGACAATAAAATACATAAGAACATAAAAAGTGCTATACTGGGTCCAACCAATAGCCCATCTAGTCCAGTATTCTGTCACTGACAGTGACAGAAATGGATGATATAGAGGAAAGACATTGAACAGGATATCTCTAGTGATGTATTCCTTTTCCAATATCCTTCCTCGTATCCACCATTATTGGTTTAGAGATGTCACCATTCTGTTCAACAGACATTAATAAATCTATCACATATAAATGTATCCAGTCCCTTTCTGAACCTGGCTATGCTATCTGCCTCTACTACCTCTTGTGGCAATGAATTCCACAATTAACTACATGTTGCAAAAAAGTATTTTCTCTTGTTTATTTTAAACCTATCACCTACTAATTTCAGCAGGTGCCCCCTAGTTCTAGTATTCTGGGACTTGGTGAACAACACTTTCCTGTTCACTTTGTCTCAGTGTTGCCAACTTTCATGATTTTTGTTGTTGTTTTTGTGTACAGATTTAAAGAATATTTAATGGAACATTATTTTACCTGATGATGCCTCTTCGATCAATAAGTTGTGACAACTTTTTTGGGGGGAAAGTTTAACAAAATTACTTTTCTTAAGTTAAAAACTGTCACTTACATCTGGGGTTTTCAATCTTTTTTAAGGGTGTACTCTTTCTGGTGGTGGCAGCTGGATGCGGAGCGGGGGGTGTCTGGACACAGAGTGGGGGGAGAGGGGGGGAGCGTGCATGTGGCGGCGGGGGGGAGGGGGGGGGGGGGGGGAGGGGGGGGGGGGGGAGGGTGCATGTGGCGGCGGTAGCATGGGGTGGTGGATGGCAGCGGTGGCTGCCGTGTGAGAGCTCCCCCACATCTGGCTGGCCAGACGGTGCCTGTGCAGCTTGCAGAAGGGAACTGCTGCCCTCGTCCCCTCCCCCTGCTCCTGGGAGGCGGTGGTGCAGAGTGGTTGGTAGCGGTGCTCCATCCCCACCTGCCCACCCATACCCCTAGCAC